TTAAACAACTTGAAGTGCTATCTCCTGGAGTTCAAAATCCTAACTCTGCTGTTTAACTGTATATCATTCCTCAAGATCCTGAACTGAATCCTCCTGAGTTGCTTGCCTCACCTCAGGGCAAGCTGCTGTCTGTGTCTGTGTTCCTCACCAGTTTTTCCCTGTTTATGAAAAGTAGATCAAGTGGTGCATTTCTACTAGTTGGTCACTCTAGTATTTGCCTTAAGAAATTATCAACCAAGGCAGTCTAGGAACTTTCAGAAATGACCTTCCATGCAGGAAAATCACCAGATGTGTAATTTTCAGTATCAAACGAATAATCCTGAAACTGGAGTGTTTTTCAGATTTTGCTAGAAACCTGTGCTCTCATTAGGAGATCACAAAAAACTTTACTGCAGCAAAAACTCACCTTCAGACAAGCAAGCTCAGCTGCTTTCAGACTCCTTCTCCTGCAAAAGCTTTGGTCAATGACATGTAGCAGGTTATTTTAAAATAGAAGTTTTCAACACAAAAAGTCTTTCTTGGTCATCATGTACTGAAATTATGGTATTCCCTTTCAACAGAAGGGAGTCCAGTTTGTATGTGTCTGGTAATTGTAATTAAGAGTGGAGTAGTCTCACGTGTACTTTCTGAAAAGGGTGGTTAAGTGTATTGAAGTTTGTGTCCTGTTTTTATGCAGACACTTTCTCTAAATGTAAGTACTTGTAAAGAAGGTTTAAGGTAGCTAATTGAATACTTCATTATACATACCAAATGACTTCTGTGCCTACACTGAGATGAGTTTGATTCCAGTAGCTGTGTGTATCCTGTGCCGCTCCTTTGCTCACTGGATCTGAGAGTAATTAACTGAGAGAGAAGATCCATGGAAGAATTCAAAGGATGGGTTCTGACAAAGAATTTGTCCCACAGTTAACTAATTAAACTTTCTCTTGTAGAATGTTTTATTTCAAAAATGCAATATGAAGTTTTATTTAGGTACCTCGTTAACCAACATTTAAACAGTAACCTGGGAGGAGTCTTCCCATTGAACTATATGTATGTGAAGCAAATGTACTGTGTCATTTTGTTAATCTGTATTTGAAGTGTAAAAGGTTTTTGGTTTGGTGTTTGTTTTTTCCCTGAGGAAGTGAATTAAATGTATTTGTAATTTAATTGTGGTTAAAGATTCCCTTTTTCCCTGTTCTTAGACTCCACCCAATACTTAGGCTTCATCCCGTTTTCTGAAACTGCCAAGTGACAGACTTTGAAAAATGTTCAGTGATCTATATTGAGAGTAACAGAGGACGCTTATACCTATCATATCTGAAAATACTGGTTCATGATCCCTATAAGACTATCATTTATCAGTTCATTATACTTGCATGCTAGAATTTATATGTGTTCTTTACCTTTACATTGCTATTGGTGAATCACATTTAGTTTTGATGGACAAGTCCTCATAGCACCATAGGTCTGCATGAGAAAAAATGAAAGTTGTTTTAGATTACTGCAGTATTGATTTACAATTTCAAGATGTTTTTCATGGCATTGAGCTGGCTGTACAAACACTTGATCCAGATCTGTGTGTTTGTTGGCATAGGGAATACATCCATATAGGACTGGAATAAGATTCTTGGTTCCTTATGATGTTTTTTCTGTACATATTTTACTCAGAGATCTTTCTTACACTGGAGTTTAAGCTCTTCATTAAACATTAAGTCCTTTCCTGGACAGTGCATGGCTTCCAAGGGTGTCACCTTCTCTCAAGAAAAGGTATAAAGAGAGCACATAAATATATTCAGACTGGGTAATTCAGTTCCTTTCTATAGATAGGTTTATATTATAAATATTTCTTTAAGTTACATTATTGTGGATATTAGCATGCTCTGTGTTTAGCAGTGGTTAGTGGTTGGGAGGTTTTATGATTTTAAATGTGTGTTAGTTATCTATCCCATGGCATAAAGTTGTTGTGAATAGTAATCATTTCAGATTTCTTCTAGGTGTAAATGAAAACCATAGCTCAGATAGGCCCTTTTTCTCTTTAGTTTGGAAAACAAACAAAAAAACCTACAAAGATAAAGATATTTAAAATATCTTTACAAGACAAATGAATTAGTCCTTTTCAAATCAGTTAGAACAGTGTCATCAGAGACTTCAAGAACTTCTCTGATGTGAATGGAACAGAGATCCCAAGAACAAGTGAAAGAATTAAGTTCTCTTAAAAGAATTTCAGGCATACATTCTTAAAATGTAGGGAAATGCTTTCTGAAGGAGACTAATTCTGATTGCTTATGGAAAAAAAGAAATCACTCTGGTATTGATACAAAACCCTTTGTAAGTCTTTTGAAGAATTTTTGTGTTAATTCTCTAAGAGTCTCAGTTGCAAAAAAAAAAAAAATCTAATACAATCATAGAATGGTTTGGGTTGGAAGGGATCCTTAGTTCCAAACCCCCTGCCATGGGCAGGGACACCCTCCACTAATTCAAGTTACTCAGAGCCTCATCCAACCTGGCCATTTTCCAGATAAGAGAAGGTTGGGAGTTGAGCTTATGAGTCCCAAAATTTATATTGACCAGTACTAGTTACATTTGTACCTTTTTTGCCACTTTGTTTATTCCTTATCAATCATTTTAAGTTGGTGTCAGGTTAGAAAGACTCCATAGAGGTGCTGCTGTTTATACCAGACGGGAGGCTTACCAAAAAAGAAAAATAAATTAAAGACTAACTCCTTCCTTTATTATAGGAGTTAGCAGAAGAGGAACTCCATTTCCATTGAAAAAGAGCTAAGAGAATGGGGATTGATATTCTTGGAGAAGTGATTTTTGTATATATTTTGCTGTCTGTGCCTCTTCCCTATTATATCATTGTGTGTATGTATCTGGGGTTTGATTAGTTACTCCCTGTACTTTGTATTTCAGGTGGATGACAGAAGGAATGATAGTTCAGCTGGTTGTGGGAGCTGAGATGGCTGAGGAGCTACTGATCAGCTAAAGAATTCCATCTTGTGATGTTTGCCCTTGGGTTGTACAAGTGCAAACACTACATCTTAAGAAAAGCTTTGAGCTGAGAATCTTCATATCTTTTCAATTTCAAGGATAATTTCTGTTATTTTCAGTCCTAGAGGAGATTCTCAGTTGTATTAATGAGGAGATGTTATAGAAATCTAAACTACATGCATTTCAAAAGTTAAGATTGGTGCTCTGATTTCAGCATGTTCTTAAATGCTCTCTTGGGCTTGCATGGGGGCTTCTATATGGGTGATGAAATTCTCTCTATTATGTAAGTGTAGTGGCAAAATGTTTACTTTTAGGAGTATTAGTTAGAAAAAGTATGTAGAAAAATGAAGAAATGTTGTTGTAGGTACAATCACATTTGCTGCTCTGTACTAGACTTCTTACCCTCTGGAAGTGTTAGGGAATGAATGTGCAAAAATCGATTAAGTCTAGTAATTCAACAAATTATGAAAGATCTGTGATATAAGAAGAGTTCTGTGTTTGCAGGTTCTTGCATCTGTATGCCAGTGCTAAATACCTCACAACTTCAGGTTAAGCAAAAACTAACTCATGTCCTGAGTTCTGAGTGCTGCTGTCATGGCATCAGTGTTCTCAGCTCTTTTGGAGACACCATGTGCAGAGGGCAGTGCTGTGACCAGCTTAAAGGGCTTGTCTGGCAGGACTCGTGGGCTTCCTGAGCTCGTTTTACCAGGTCACCAGAAATCTACCCTGCATCCAGCCAGCCTTGCTAGAACCATTTAGCTTAGGGAGAGTGCTGAGAGCCTGCCAGAGAGCTCTGAAGTCTATTGTCCCATGTAAAGTGGAAAGTTCATTGTAATTTCAGCCAGAGCTGTGAAGTTAATGTCCCTAAGTTAGTGTTCTAAAGCAGTTGGAAAAAACACCTACGTAGAGGTCTAATGTGTGTGCATTACCAGCATTATCTGATTTGACATAACTCTTTTGAGCATACTAAGGCAAAGACAAATGCAGGCTTTGCTTGTTAGGTGACATTTGTTAAAGGAATTTTGAGATTCCTTAAAGTTGTCTTATAATTCAGATTTACCAGCTTGTTTAGAGATGCTTATGCTTCTTTAGGTAATTGCTGAAAGAAATTACAGTGTTTCAGCAGAAAACATATTGCAATCACAGCAGTCCATTTATTTTTTCAGTCCATTTACTGATGAATTTGCAGTTGTCATTTCAGTGTAGGTGAAGTAATAATAAACAGAGGATAGAGTTTATCTCCATGCAGAATGTTGCAATGCAGTTATAGTAGCAGGCATATTTGTTCTCATCAGCTTGGCTTCCATTTTCTTATTAATAGCATTAAAATCTACAGTTTGCAATTAATCATTTCAAAGCAACAGTAGTGTAGCACCTTGCTTAATTTAATTTCAGTTTATTGGGGTTTAAGTTCACATTGTTCTTGGTTTGGGTTTTTTTATACTTGCCATGGTCGTGATCCTGAGATTTCATTATAAGATTCAAGTGTTAAATGTTTACTGTAAGTTCTCTCATTGCTTTTGAAAACGCTGTGTCAAAAGGGAAACACTTTGAACCTTTGTACAACTTCTGTGAACTTTTCTTTTGCAAGAAGTATTTACACCAGTATTTTCAGTTGCAAGCAAAACATTGGAGCAAAAATGATGTGCATAAGTCATTTTCAGATCAGCTGAAGTGATGGTTGGCTCTGCTGTGCTCGAGCTCCCCAGCACACACTTTTGTCAGAACCTGCTCTTTAAGGGCTACATGGTATGGACTTTGCATTTTATGATGTTGGGAGAATTATAAGTAGTAAAAATATCACATACTTTAAAGCAGTGCTTGTCTAACCTGTGCTGCTGAACTTGGTGTCTCAGTGGAGCAGAACTGTGGCTTTGAGGAACAAGAAGTGGAGAAAATGTATTGTAATTATTTACTTTGAGATAATACTCTTTTATTTCCGATGCATGTAGTAGCTATTATTTAGATCTTGTCTAAGTTGATTTTTTCTTTCTTTCTTTCTTCCTTTTTTTTTCTCTGTCTCTCAGTTTGTAAGACATGTATTGTTCAACACTTTGAAGACAGCAATGACTGTCCCAGGTGTGGCAACCAAGTGCATGAGACCAATCCACTAGAAATGTTAAGGTAAGATGCTATTTCACAACATTTGCTAAAATGGAAAAACAAAAAATTGAAAAAAAATCCTAGCATCTTTATCCTAAAAGGGAATTAATTGTTTTGCTTATTTGTATAAAGCATATGTTAACTGTTCTGAGCCATATAGGTTGTTATTTTCCTCAGCTCCCACTAAATTGTAAATTGATTTTTTTCAGATATAATAAAAGGAGGAAAGGTAAGAGAAAGACACTGAAAGACTGGGTATATTTTACAAGTTAAAATAAACATTTTAATACCTTTATTAAACAAATAAATGAAACAGATACCTTTTATTCTTTACATGGAATGAAATTAAGTTCTAGAGTTTCTTTTTTCAAATTATTTAGGGCATTCCAATCTGCATGGCAAACTTTTTCTTCTTAGAGCTGTACAGAAAATGAATCATACAAATAACAATGTTTTTCAGGGCATTGTAATGGCTCTCAAACCATTACACAATCTGAATTGAAATCTGCTGTGAGATTAATGAAAAGACACTAATGAAAAAAAGTTTTGACACTAAAAATACCCTTTTTTGAGAGTTTGTATTTTTATATCACAGTAACACACCTTTTTAAAAACAGTTATTTTTCTTGAAAATTTGAATTCTCTTTTAGTGATGGTATGTTGAAACAAAGGTGATAGACATCCCATAAGTATAAGATGGAGAAATCAAGAAATATCATAAGTGGAAGAACTTCATGTTTAACTCCAGTGATGAAGGCACTCCCTGCCCTCTCTCCCAAAAATCTCCCCACCCCATCCCACCCCATCCCACGGTATTCTTATTTTGTAATACTGTTGTGAGTTTAGGAAGAACTATTCTTACCTCAGTGTTAAAATATACATTTACATCTGGCATTTACTAGGGTTGGTATCACTTCCTGATGTCATTGTGTTGCTACAGTTTATCATATATTGCTTTGATTTTTGACTCATATGATGCACAACCATTCCTGTGCTTCAGTTATACACCAAGAGGAGAGGTGACTGAGATTAAATTCAGCAACTCTGAAGGGTGTTAGTGACTGATATGGTTTGAAGCTGGCTCCCTGCCAAGTCTCCAAACCTTACCACCAGAAGTCCCCCCCCCACCCTCCAAACCTCAGGGAGAAGAGGGAGGAAAACAACCAGCTAAGAAAACCCGAAACGTGAGAGACAGCTAAAGTGATATATATAAATATATTTACACTTATGTAACAATTGAAATATATACAATTTAAAATATATACAATTTTCACAAGGGAAGGGGAAGGGGGAAGGGAAAGGGAACAAAACCAAAATAAAATAAATATATATATATCCCAAATCAGTAGCCCGAGATCTAGTAACTAAAGGGTTAGCAAAGAAAAATATCCCACCACTCTCCTTGGGACAACCGAGAGTCGAGTCGCTCCGGGACGATCGCCGGCAACCTCCGCCTCCCAAGGTCGACAAGGCCTTACCAGGCCTTGCTCCCCAACACAGCAGACTCAACAGCAGGGAACCTGCACCTCCAAGCCGCCGGAAGGAAAGAGAGCGAAGACCTCTCCTCCTTTCTTCTTATAATCTGGCTTAGGTAAAAATCGTAGGGAATACTGGGTAAATCTGGACCCTTCCTTGGTCACAAACTGGTCACCAAGGAAGGCCTAGCCCAAACCACCACAGTGACCTTAGTCTTTATCATCTGAATGTTTTTGGAAGAGTAGGGCTGAGAGGGTTTGTGTAGTAGAAAATACTTTTCTGATCTCCTGTGAGTGTCTGAGGTGCTGTGTGAGCTGTAATAGAAGATGCTGTGGGCTACTAATGAGCTGAAAACAAAAGCATTCTAGAAATATTTTTATTCTGATGAGACCACTTCATAGGAGATGAAAAATACATTTTCTGAAACATTTTAGTAAACTAATACTGTCCTTTGAGGAGGAAATTATAGATGGGTGAGAAAAGTTAAAGTAAGCCAGAAATGTGGGAAGAGCTATTTTCTATGCAATTATTTCCTGAAATTCCTTTTAGAGTCATTTGGTCTGTTTGCCAACAAACTGCATATAGTTAGTAGTTTCCTGGTTATATTTTATGAAACAGCTTTAAACATTTGCTAAACAAATAATCAGAAGAGCACGTGAACAGTGTAATAGAATGATCTTTTTTCAGAAGTTACCAGCATAACTTAATGCATGTCTTATGCTCTGACCATAGAGACCAGCCCCATCATTGCTAAAGAATGCAGTCATTTTCTGAGAAATAGAATTGAACACTAGATAGTAGTTTTAACTTGAGATCTTTCAGATAAACTTTACAAACTACTTATAAACTCAATTCTGAGTAACTTCATAACTATGTGAGGTTTTTACATGTATCTCTTAGCTGGCAGCAATTAGGATCTTTTGAAACTATGATTAAGTCTGAAATTTAACATTGAGTTGTAAAATGAAAATGTAGGAAGTGTTAAATTCTAGAATTCCCTTTACTGATTTAGCAGAATTCTGCATCATCAGTACTCAGTAGGACTGTGTTGACTATACCATGCAGACAGGCTTCTTTTTCTCTTGGTAGCATGCTTCTGTGCATGCAAGTTTTCCTGAATTATAGTCTTAGAAATATTTTGGTTCATGTTTGCTGTTAATTATCAGGAGAGTATTGATCTTATAACTCATTCAATTTTATAGAAGAGGTGAAAAAAGAAACTATACAAAGCCGACACAAGTACTTGGTTCTTCTGTCTGTATGTTGTTGTTTGGAGGTTGGAAGATGTGGGAGTGGAAAGAGTTGTGTCTAAAATATCAGTGTTCTTGTTACAGCATTAACAGAGAGTATATTAAATAACTGAGACCAACTTTGTCAAGTAGTTTTGTTTTGGAATGGGTTTGATGCAAGTCACGTAAATACAAATCTTTGTGTTAGAGTGCTCACAGGTGTGGATAACAGCAACACTGTGAGATGCATCTGAAATTGAGAATCTTTTATGATTTATTTTTTCTCTATAGTTTTTAGTCTTCATGCACTTAAAGATCAGATAGGATTTTTTTTTTCTGCCCTTTTTAAAAATATTGATTAGTATTTACTCTCTGTAAGGAGAAAACAGCTTTTTTGTTTCATTTTTTGGAAGAAAATGAAGTCATTAACTGGAGTGGGAAGCTGGTTCTTGCTGCTAGCATTGTAAATCTGCAAAGTATGCTGGGTTTTTTTGCTGTTTTAGCATTACCAGTGACTTTTGTTTTGGGCTGTTGAAAACAAATTAGAAAGTGCTAAGTGGGAACTTTCAAAAATAAATGTAGAAAACCCAGCATGTATTATATCATACTGAGGAACAGTCGGATTTTTAATTAAGGTAGCAATGTTCTCTTTTGAAGTTGTCATTTAGTTTCTCTTAATCAGTACGTTATGAAGATTGGAGCTTTCTTAATATGTGAAATGTATTCCATTCCTAAGACAGGTTCCCAAGTTCCCAGTGCTCTTCTGTGGGAGCTTCATAGAAAGCAGTACCATCTAGTTACATTAGATACAGACAGAGGAGGCTACAAAATACACCATTTGGAAAGGTAGATCTGTTTTGTCCTCTGTCAGAAGTTAAGCACTCAAGACATCCCATGATTTTTGTTTCCTTCTTATCCATGAGAAAGTGGTGTGCTCAAAGTAGCTCTCTGTGCTACTTTGTTTTAGTGGAGGTATGTTTGACCTGATGATTTTTCCTTTTTTTTGTCCCTGTAAGAAGAAGCAATTAAAAAATGGATTATGGTTGTAGGTTAAACATGAATATTCTTATGGTATGATTATGTCCATTGACGGATACCACAGGGAACTAGTCTCAGAAAGTGATGTTTGGGTAATAGGTCTAATTGTAAACTTTGAATTACAAATTCTGTAAATCACTTTGAAGTACAAATTCTGTAAAGAAGAAAACCTTCAATACTCATATATGTATTATAAGAAGATAATTGTTATCCATTAAAATGGATTGTAGGCATTGCTCAACAGTAAAAACATTCAGTCTTACTCCTACTTTGCCACTATTGGTGAATAAATGACAGAGAACAGATGTGCTTTTTATCAGGCTTGTAGTGTATTATTAATAACATGTACACATGTGTATTTGCAAATATATATGTAGAGAAATATATTCTTATTGAGTTGAAAAATTAAGGCAGTTAAAAATATACCAAAGCCAATTATTGTATTGTAGTTTCTTACTAAATTTCAAGGTACCTAATTTCTCTGGCCGTATTACTTTGTATTTTGTTTTGTCCTGGGTTTTTGTTTAGGCTGTGGGCAGTGGGAGTTTCTGTTCACAAGAAATGAGATATAGAGCAAAGAAGAGAAAGGAAAAGTTAACAGAATGAAATACAGAGGAAGGTGAAGAATAAGAGAGACAGGGAGAGGAAGTGGAACTAGAAAGCAGATGATAAATTAAATGGATAGGAGAGTAGGTTAAATTCAGAGAAAAGGAAAGAAAAGTATTTTAGCTTCAGCAGCAAAGGTAACTGCACTGTGTCCAGTGGAAGGGACTGTAATAACTAGTTTTGGCACTGATATCTGGATATCAAAGGACATACCTGTGCTGTGTTCTGTCTTCTGATATACAAACTCACGGCAGATTTCAATAGTTCAAATTAATTACGGGTACTGAGAACTGTCAAGTCAGAGCAGCATGGATGCTCTGTGCTCTTCTTTATCCTACCGAGATTGGTTTGTCTGTGGTGTAGTGAGCAGGGAATAGTTTGTTCAGATTTTCGTAACAGGCTTATTACCAAAGCACTTGAACACTTAATATGCTAATGTAGTTTATAATTTTCATGCTTACTATTCATGAGTTTGACCTTAAAATTGGATACTACTTTTCCAGTCTGTCCCTTTTAGTAACATGAATGTTTGCACATAATACAAATTCAAACAATAAAAATTTTAGAGTAAAGTATTTTTTCCTCATTTGTTTCATTGTTATTCTTATACACTGAAAAATTATAAATTCCTTAAAATAAATCCCTTCAAGAGGTGATTAAGATAAACTTTGATGCATGTTGCCTCTCAAGCTAAAGTCAGTTGGCTTTGACAGGATTTATTATTTACCAGAAAAATGCAACTCATTTTATTATTCAAAAGTTTTTGTTATTTAAACACTAAAAATACTTAAAATGCTAGTTTCTGTTTAATGTGAAATGTATTTTTTCCCTCTGAAAGGCTGGATAACACCTTAGAGGAAATTATATTTAAGTTGGTGCCTGGACTTCGAGAACGTAAGTTTCTCACTTGGTTTTGGGTACCTGCTTGGGTTGATGGAGGGAATGTGGCTATTTCTGATTACATACCTGTATTATTGATTAAAAAATTCACATTACTGTTCTTTGATATTAACTAGAGGAACTGCAGCGAGAGATCGAATTTTGGAAGAAAAACAAACCTCAAGAAAATGGACAAGGTGATGATTTTTTCTCTTTCTCATCTGTGGGTTAAGTAACATTGTTCATTAAGACCTGTTTGTTCACTTACAGAAGTACATTGTTTTTACTGAATTCACGGTACTACAGAAACTTGTAGCAAATCTGTGTAAATGTAGTGTGGGCCCTCATGTACTGCTGCTTATCTATTAACCAGTTGTTTTACAAACACTGACTGTTTTACCATTATTTTTGTTTGCATTTCCCTATGCTCTCACTTGAAACACTCATAATTTCCCAGTTAAATTCTTAATTTTCTTAATACAGCAAGAAACAGATTTTTTTTTTTACAGAGTTTTTACAGATTACTTTCTGTTACTGAATGTGACCATCTGTTAAGTAGGAGGTTGTCAAGAATTAGTTACAAGTAGTAAAACAGCTTTCCACACATGCTAAACAATTGTTTTATATAGATTCCACAATATTGTTGTTGGTTTGGTTTTTTTTGTAATTGACCCATGAAGTTTGAAAGCGCAGTATTGAGGTACTAAGTGAGGACTACATCCAACTGTTTTAATGCCTCTTTAATTTGACAAGTTTTTGATACCATAGCCTATTTGATTTGATTTTGAAGAACTTTTGAAAAGCTCTGCTAAGTTAAAGAAATAGCTCTTTTCAGTAAAGGATAACTGTCAAGTAAACATCTTGTAATGCATCTCTTCTGCACTCACTTGTTTATATCTTCCTTTCAACTTCATAACATATAATTTTCTTTCTCACTAGTTTTGATGATTTGCATTTGGCATCCATTGTAAGTGACAAGGTCATTTTCTCTGTTATATAATTAAATAAAGAACTGAAGAACAGTTTAGATGAAATTAGATTTGTTTACTACATCATACTATGTAGTGTATATCTGTTCAGTTTTAAAAATACTTAGAAAATATTTATATGAAGTATAAATATTTTTGACTGTTTAGGAAATTATTTTCTGCTATATACATAAATAGAAAGAATTAGCACATCATTTACAAATTTGTAGAATGTAACTTACTTTTAACCAACTTATTCTTCTGGTTCTTACCTTACTCCCATAATTTAGTGGTAAACCTAATGGAGATGAGTTAGTGTAGTGAGAGCTTGGATTGTTTTGTGAAGGAGACTTAGGCTCTAACTCAAAATATACTTTTGAGTAGCTACATATGTATCTGTCTCCATTAGTGACCGTATTCTTGGGCTATAGAAATTTGTCTCTACAAACCATTTAAAAGTCATGACAACTCATTAAGACAAATTATGAGCATTTAAGCTGTTTTCTGCCATAAACAAGCATTTAGAATCTTGCCTGAGAATGAATTATTTGCTGAGAATAATTTCAGTAAGAAGAGCCTGTTTCAGTTGTCAATGCCATGCCCTTCAATCACGTTGTCAATCTAGTTTAAGAGTCTGTCAGTTATGTCCTGTACCACAGGTCACAGCACAACCTTAGCACCTAAGATGTGTAAAAAAATACCAGGACTTAGTTTTCACACATCAGAAGGGGTGAAAAAAATCGAACAACAAAGCATATCTCAGGCATTGGTGGTGTCAATAGGAGAGTGGTTACCAGAAAAAATTGAAAGATGATGAAACATACAGTGGTACAGAGAAAAAAATATTCATTAGTCCTCTCCAGCCTGAACTGGGGAAAGAAGAGGGCAAACAGCTTTACAGTAACTCACTCTCTAGTGATTAGTTTTATGGTCAATATCTGAGAAAAGCACAGAAAGTAGACAATATCCTAGGTTTGAAAGAAAGATGAGAAGAAAAAAGAGACACCAGATTACTCCTTAGGGAAAGAGGGGAGGAGGTGAATGAGGTATTGCTTTGGTTTTCCTTTCCTGCTCTTGGCTTGATGCTTTTTGACTTGGAGAACAATGAGTCCATTCTAGTGAGATTAAATTTATTTATTTTTTTAACTTCTATCATATTGAATAACATGCCAGTAATGGACCATCACATTGATTTCTGGAGGTTGCCTGTACAAACATCATTAATTCTAATACCTACAAGGATTTTTCAGAAAATATTCTGGTGCCATTTACATGGGGGAACATTTGAATTTCCTATCAGGATACCTTGGAAGATGTGACCTTTTTGCATGTGGACCTCTTTCTGGAATTATTTTATGATGGGAAATTTACTGTTTTCCCTAGTTCTGTGGTTGGTTTGTTTTTCAAGGCTTTTCAAACTGCGTAACTAAACTTTCCTCCATTATTCAGCTATGGTAACTGTTGAAAGTTTTGGATGTACTTGCTGAAGGATCTGTGAATCATAGGCAGACTTCTCAGATAAGTGATTGTGATGGGTAGACTGCACCTGCTGGATTAAGAATTTGCTTCCTGGACTTTCACAAACAGAGAAAAAAATCTATAGGTTGATACTGGAAATTCTGTTCATAGGAAGATGATAATAACAAAATGTATGTATGATGCACAATAGCTAATAGGGGACTTAGGGACAAATGTAATTACAAAATACTTAAAAATTGTAAGAAAGAAAAGTAATGAATGTAGCTTAAAACTCACCTTGAATATTTAAACTGAGCAAAGAGAACTAATTACTGTGTCAAGAAACTTAGTCATGGCTTGTTCTATTTTCTCACCTGAACTCTTCTAAATTACTTAAGAAGTATGGTAAGTGTAGCAAAGCAGCAGAATTCAATCTGAAAGTTTTTCAAAAAGATGCATAGGCAGCTTATTCAACTTACTTGTGATGATGTTTTATTCCAACAGAGAACGGCCTTTTTTTTAAGTCTAAATAAATAAGTTAGGGATATGGAAAAAACAAATGTATACAATAGGATTAATGTATACTGTATTACAAATCTGTAAAAGTTACCCCATTTTATGGTTATTATTTACATACACTGCAGCCTTATCTAGATGTACTTGCTGGTCTCAGCATTCAAGTGTTCATCTTTGCTAAACCTTTGAAAATTGTAGAAGATGGTACCATTTCCAAAGGGGTAGAATTTTAAACCAGGGGTCTATAGTACATGGTAACAGCATCAGTGAAAAGAGATAACACATTAAGTATGATTTTGTAGAATATATGTGCTCTGCTAAAAAATACTGGGACCTTTCATTTTTTCTTATTTTTTATTTTTAAAGGGGAATAAGTAAGTATATGGCTATTTAGTTGTAAAATCCTTCTGGAGAGAAACACCTGGATATCTTACAATGATATTACTTAGATAGCATCAAAAGTGGATGTAAGCTAAGCTTTATCTTCCCTTACTTTACTTCATGGTAATATTTCAGGAACTTTTCTTCACTGGATTATTATGGCAGACAGTTTATGAATTGATTACCCATGTTACTTTGATATACAAGTGTTTGGATTAGTTATTCCACTGTTTATTTACAAACATCGTTTTTTGTCACTGAACTGCCACAGCATAGGGTAGGATTGTGTGTTTGAGTGTTCCTGGTGCGTGCACAGTTGCGGGGTTTTTAATTACTGGACACATCAGAAGTAGACAGCCATTATAGTCCATCAGACTAATTATTTTCTGTTCCATAGAAATCCATTGTTTGCATATTGCATTAAAATTTCAACGGTAAAAATTTGTTTTCAGAGATCTTTTAATTGGTCAATTTAAGAATGCACTGCATTAAAATTGTATAAAGTTAATTTGAAGAAAAAATATGCTCGTGAAAATGTTGTATTTCCTTAAATATGTGACTTTTAATTATTTTACACTTAAATGATTTGATCTTCATATTTTACAGATGAAAGTCCAAAAGCTGATAAACCCAAAGTAGATGAGGAGTGTGATGAAAATGAAGAAGATAAAGACTATCACAGGAGTGACCCACAGATTGCTATCTGCCTCGACTGTTTACGCAACAATGGGCAGTCAGGAGATAATGTAGTCAAAGTGAGTAGTAAACAATCTGTACTGTTGTTATTGATGACAGAATAGCATCTTATAGGAACCAAATAATTTTATAACCATTAACAATAAACTTTAGTGTGGTGACTTCCACACTTATTTAGTCCTTCTGTATGAGGCCTTTCAATGCATCTTGGAATTTTTTAAAAAAATAGAGTTCCATACAGAAATTCATCTGTGACTGTGGAGGTTTTTTTGTGTATGGATTATAGTTTTGCAGTCTACAGCCTTGATGGTATATAACTGCATTACACAACAGATTACAGCATACCACAGAGGTATTTGTAAAGCTAGCTGTAGGTGAGCTGCCTCATACTTTCAGGATTACTGTTTTAACATGCCAGCATGAACTTGCTTTTCAGATATGTTGTGCACTGAATGACTGGGATCCAGATCTTCCGAGCTGTAAACCTGATTCTGACACCGATGTGTTGTCTGTGGCCTTGGGCAGGTCACCTTCATCTGCAAACTGTGTAGAGTAATACCTGCCAACTACTGTTTTAAGAATTAGGGATATTTAGTTGCCGTTCATGAAGAGTTTTACCTAATGATATTGAGTCTGGAACAAAGTTTTTAGAAATCCCCTTAGATTTTAATAATGTTTTATTAAAATACAAATACAAGAATTTTAAAAAATATAAAGAATTTTTCTAATAAAATTACTTATATTTTCTATGTGATAATTTACATGTATAATTTTGGAAGTTCGTAACACAGTAAGAAAATTTTGATTCGTCAGGAAAATACACCTAAATGTTGTCACTCTGTTTATGCTATATACAGTGAGAAATCTGTGTCTCCATCACCATGTGAGAGTCTCAAGCTTCCAGTCTTCCTGTTGAATCAAAACCATTAGGCTCTGGATCACAGAATCTATGATAATAGATCACGTCTCAGATTTGTAGCTTCTCTGTATTTTACCTAGATTATTTCAGAATGTCTTTACTTCCTTTTTCTCTCAAGGACTGAAAAAATTCAAAGAAATGCAACATTTGTTTAAACCCGAGTGTTACTAACGCAAACACATAGATTATTAAGTTCTTCTGGGGCTTTTTGTGGGTTTATGGAAGTTGGGCTTTGGTTTTTATCTTTCCTCCCTTTGGTGTCTTTTAGACATTTTCTTAGAACCAGAGATGGGTCAAATGAACTTGTTTGTCATCTTTTAAATTTTGCCAAAAAATTGCACCTATGGTGCCATTATGGATTAGAAGAGGGTGCACTAAAATTGATTACTGGTTGAAAAAATTATCAGTTACAGCTGTTCTTGCACTAATGATTGCTCTTGTTTTCCAGGATTTCTAACATGGTTTTTCTGATTTTTTGCTGTTGCTTTAGGGTTTAATGAAGAAATTTATCCGCTGTTCTACTCGAGTGACTGTGGGAACTATCAAAAAGTTTCTCAGCTTAAAATTAAAACTTCCAAGTTCTTATGAGGTACATTTGGAAGAAAAATGCTTTTATTTTTATTTCTCTGCAACATAATACATTCCTTCAAAATTTAATCATATTTGAACCTGCTTCCCCTCTTTCCAAGGATACAGGAATTTAGACTGAAGGACAGACTGTTTCTTCAGCCAGTTCTCTTACTGGAGCCAATGACTCCATGAACTGCAGCCTCCCAGCTTTGGTCAGGGATGGGGCTGAGTTAGGTTAGGTGCACACGTGTATTGCTACGCCCAGGAGTTTGTCACAGTGTCAGGACATGCTGACCAGCCTTTTTGGTGTCATTTGGCTTTGTTATTTTATCTGTCTGGCACCTTAATGGCTTGTGTTACAAAGAATCTGTTTGCCTCAAAATGCTTTTTTTTCATCTAAAAACCAGAAAAACATTATAGCTCTAGTAATCAAAATATTGTCAAACATTTTCAGTGGTGCGTAGCTGTAAGGTGCTATCATACAGTTTAAACTAATAATTTTTCGTAATAAGATGATTATTTTTCTCTGTCTTTTGCTTTCAGTTAATGAATGTTTGTATACTTGGAAGAGCTTTTTATTTGTAATTTATAGTTATTTTTAAACTAATTTTTTTAACTATAATTTATTTTTTGTATGACAATTACAGTACTTCTGGTTTGTATCTTTGAGTTTGAAAGAGCATTGGCATAGTAAGGTGGTCTTCAAAATACAGCAAAAGTCTTTTTCTTCAAACAGATACTGTGTAGTATTGCTAAATATAGGGAATGTTTGTCTGCTAGTGATTTCCTACCTCATTGGCAGACTTCCTTCTGTTCACACTTCAAATGAAAACATGAAAGTGAAAAAAATAAAGTCGAATGGTAGTGTACAAAATAGCATATTGTCAGCATGTTGTATTCATCCAGGTTTGATATACATGTCAGATGGAATTGTTGTATAATGATAGAAGTTGAGGGATTAACTCTGAGATGCACTTAGGAGTTCATTTAGATATTAAAATTTTGCATCCCTTTATCTTACTGTTTGTTCTCTTACATTTTAAGCTGGATGTACTATGCAACGGAGAAATTATGGGGAAGGATCATACTATGGAATTCATCTATATGACAAGATGGAGACTAAGAGGCGAAAACGTAAATACTGTTACATTATAAATAAATGATGTTTTGGTATATTTATTATAGATGGTATACATGCTTTCAGCGCTTGGTCCAAGAATAGATTCTATGACCCTTCAAAAAACCCTTACTTAAAAATGCCTTTCGCATGTTTTCTGGATTTCTTATGTAAAACTCTATGAGGGAAACCCTGCAGCACATGTATTGTGTAGATTCTGAAACTTCAAAATAGCAGATATACAATGTTCATATGCAAGTTCTGCTCTAAGTTTTAAGTCAAGTGTCTGAAAACCCAGGTGCTTGTTTTTTTCCTGCAAATGTTCTTTTGGTGACCTTTTGAGTTACAATAGTTGGCGAATCTGCATCCAGCAGATCCAGTAAGAACCTGCTTTATTCAGTCAGTAGACTGAAAGTGACACTGGAAAATTATTGGTGAAATCTAATTGTTTCATTACTGTTTCTGTTCATACTACACACATTTTTTTTAGATGTGCTATTTAACACTAACATCCAGATAACAGCCAAATGGATTTTCCTTGCTGCATGTGTATATTTTTGAATTGCAATATTTAACTTTTTTACAGACTTCTTTTTCAGGTCTGATCCTCAGTTTGATTTAGTAGCCCTTATATTGCCTTGTATATTTAATTTTTTTGGTTAGAAGTCATATCCCCTTTGTTTCCCTTTCTTTTATAAATTTGTTTGTGTGTGACTGTGGATTGTTCTTCAGTCTTTATTGCTTTGTAGTATATACAGGGTTGTTGTCTGTAATTACTAGTGGAGGCTAAATTGGAGTGCAGCTAAGGTTAAGCATTTAACATATCTTAATGTACTGATCTGTAGAAGATTCCAAACTTGCTGTATTCTTTTTTTTTTTTTTAAGCACCCTAGTGCTCAGAATAAAAAGCACTGGGGCACGGACAGAGAAGACAGAGAATTAAACACACTGTGGAGTTAACAATTCACAAGTTTCTCAAAGTTTTACCTTAATCTGAAGCGGTGGGGGGGGAGGATAGATTTTGATAGGAATTAGAGAAGTTAGTGTATATAAGCAAGTATTCATGAAATTTGAAAGTAATATTGCACTGAAATTTGATCATTACTGAAACCACAATATTGCACGAATAAGGGAGCTTTAAGTAGTATTTTTTCCAATACTGTCTTGAAACCAGTGGGTGTTTTTTTGGCTTGCCATTCTGTATTTTTGTTAGCATTGGCTGTACTATTAGGAAGTGTTGAGGCAAAAACTAATGATAATGGAATTTTTTCATGACATTTCATCCTGCAGCACCTGCCTACAAGTGGACTTTTGGCAGATGCATTGTATTGGAAGCAACAATAGCCATCATTTTGACAAAAAAAACATTTGTACTGATGAAATTTTTTCAAAAATCTCAGAACTATAGCTTTTAACATTAAGTGAATGTAAGAGTTGACAACTCTTGATTAAGTTTGTAAGTTGCGTTTACATACACACAGTATGTGTTCATCTTTTATGTAGTTTTAAATCACTCCCCTGAAGTTAGAGATGACTAAAACCTGTAAAAATTAAACTGTGCTGGTAATAAATCCAATAATATATAGGCTTCTATGATTTTTTTTTCCTTAATGAAGTTGCAATGGTAATTAATTAACAACGTCTTCTTCTGAATGAATATCAAATAAGTTTATTATATACATCTTTGATACTATTAACCATGAGCTTTTACTGGCATACCTATGGACCTTACATGAGGTAGACAAGTAAAGGGAAAATGTCCATTTATTCATTAGAGAAGTCTTTCCTGTTTTTAAATAAGTAAGTTAATTGTGAGCTTTAAATTTGAAAATTAAAAAAAAAAAAATTAATTCACTAAATGGTAAATGTGTATGTCCAGCTGTGAATGCCTCTTATCTGATCAGAAAATCATCTCCTTCGCAGTTTCGGTGTCAGAACTGCTCATCTTCGCAAGTCTGCTCACAGGATGGCACTTTTTATCAGGTAAGAGGCACTCACGACTGTACATATTACAGTCATTAAGGTCCTGTCAGCACTTCAATTGTAATTCAGTTTGTGGAGTTTTTATAATTCCTCACTAAGAAGTGCTAAAACTCTGTGAGCGAGGCCTGAGCTTTTTCATTCCCTCAGTGCAAGCTTTATTGAATAAATAAACACAGTCCATTCAAAAGGTTTAGGAGTTTCTTTTACTTTACATTAGGCTGTTTTGGGTTTTTTTAATGGAGAGATACCCTTGTGTAGGGTGATATTCATATCAGTCTCAAAGGATTATCTACCTCTTTCTATCTCATCCTTCTAACTAAGCAGTGTTGTGCAGTCAATGACAAGGAGTCAGAACTGAAGAATGTGAATCAAAGGAGACAACATTGGTTTCATTTCTTTATGGGAATTCATGTGTCCTTTTTAATGGAGTAAAGAAATGTTAGATTTTTGTAAACTATATTTCTTTCACATATTTTAAAATTAGAAATGGAATAATGCCTTAATCTCTAGACTATATAACAAAACAAAACCTACAGAACCTGCAAACTGAAGCCGATTTCTAAGTTTCATTGACCAATCTGGTTCATACCTATTTGAAATGATATTTCAGTTTCCTCATTGAAAATTTTTATTTGAACTTCATTCTAATTACTTTACAAGTTTGAAATAATATTTTTGCATGAGTAAAAAAATTAAAGGAAATGATAGAGGGTCACTCCCCACTAACCAATGGGATCAACCTGCTATACTCATGTTTACTTCAGTAATTAGAATTGTTCCAGCATAGTGCATTTTATTTGTACAGTTTTGGAATTTTGTTTGCAAAAACACTGAGCCTCCCTGGTTTACTTGGCAATTCAGCGAGGTGACTGCTCTGTCTCTGCCTGTGTGCATTTCCAGTATGATTTGCGTACTTCTAGAGACAATTTATATAATCAAGGTGAAAACGGTGTGAAATAGCATTTAAATAATATGGTAGTCATATCTTGTGCAAATAAAAAAATAATCAAAGACAAGTAGTTTATGGTATTACAGATAAAAGTTTGTTAATTGCACATGCAGACTACACATGGTGCTCCCTGTCTTCTCTCCTAAATACTCCTGATACTGTTAATACCTCTTGGTTTAGGTTATGATTTCTCTGCACTCCAGTTTGTAAATCCCCTGCAAATGTGATCACATTTAGTTCTTATGATCATTTCACTCCCATGGCATGGAAAGTTTATTAACCCATATAGGTCTCTGAAGCTATATCTCTGTTTCTTCATCTCTGTTGCATTTGAATGCAGCAAAATATTTCTGGTTTCATTGATAACTTCTGTAATAATTCTGTGTACTTCCAAATTTGCAATTAAAAAAACCTTTAAATTAGCTTTATTCCTCTATTCGGTGGCAGAGAGATATTTAAGCCTATACAGCTGCTGAGCCAATGAGATTTTCCAGGATTTTATGCTATAGAAAACATCCATTACCCTAATGAAGTTAAGAGGAAAACTTTAGACTTAAATGAAATGCTGAGAGGCTGAAAAAATAAGACATTTAGTAAAACAACAGTTTGAGCAACAAGTGCCCAGGTGTTCTACAGCCCTTTTGGGAAACCCACCCAGTCTTGCCTTTCATTTCACAACAGTTTTGTCCAATTCAGGGATCCAAGAAGTAGTTTATTTGCCTTTTTTTTTTTTTCAGTAGAAACCAATAAAAATGTATCACTAGATCTGAGATTAAGGAGTTTGGATTTGGGGGAAAAGTTAGCCATCTTCTCTCAGAAAATCAGCTGACACCAATTCGACATCTTTTTTTTTTTTTTTTTATAGTATAGCTAGGGAACCTCTGTAAATATAAAAATTCAAACAGAGTACGTCACCTGTAAATATACTTCAGTTTAGAAAGTAAAAAATTTCAAGATTGATTTTTATCAAGCACAGCAACACAGAAGTAAGAGTTCTTTGAGCACTCCAAGTATTTATGTAATAAAGTATAAATATTGAAATATATGAAAGCAGATAGAGAAATTTTGTATCAATGACAAATAGCTAATAGATTTGAGGTATGGGTATGTATTTAGCTGTTGTATGGAATCATTTCATATAAATAAAACTGTCATATATTTGTGTTTTAGAGATAAGCTTTGGCTATTCTTAAGGCAGTTTTTAATTGCATTTTCTTTATGAATTATGTCTTCATGCTTTCTCTGTTTTTGTTGTTGTTTTCCCCTTGCTTTTGTTTTCAGTCTTACCCCATGGTACTTCAGTATCGACCTAGAATTGACTTCGGTTAGACCAAAGGGCCAGATCCCACTGAGATGAATCCTGCACTATTTGTTTACCCATCGACAGATTGCACAATGAATGGATGTGCCTGGATTGGGGGGACACAGCCAGATTTTCAGCATGCAAATAAGGACATTGTCTTTCTTAAAAGTGTCAGTTGCATCTCTGTTGTTTCTATTAGAGCAAGCCAAGTGCCATTCTGCTACTGAAATGTGCATAAGATATTCGTGTATCTTAAGGGTGTGCTGCAAATCATAGCCAAAATCATGAAGTGTACAGTCAAGATTCAAAAACTATGGAATATTTTTGCTTGCGTGTTAGAAAATTTTTCTGGTCCTAATATTGATTACATTAGCAAAATGGCAGAGTGCTCATTCCATGTGGTGTTGCAGTTTCACACACTTACTATTTTACTGAATATTGTTGTTTAAATCATAGAGTACTGTACAAATAACTAAGGATTATACCTTGACAATATTTTGTATAGAAAATATATTTAGAAATGTGGTGGTTGGGCCACTACCTTTTTCTTGATAAGGTTCTCATGGGTCCAGGTATAGCTCACTCATGAGTGTGCAACAGTCCTTTTGCAGTGAATGAAGATTAATTACACTTAACAAGAAGTGTAGAACATGATAATTCAAAATAGTAATTTTAAATCTGCTAAATAGATTCTGCTAATATTGCTTAAAAGCATTGCAGCCTTTGTGATTGCACTTTTCTATGGTTTCCCTGAAGATTGGAATTTGGGATACTACCTATTTTTGGAAAATGGCTTCTGGTCAGATTACATTTCTTCTAATTAAGCTTCCACAAAAATGAAGCTAAAATAATATAAATGTCTATGGAACAAATCAATTTCACTACAAAATTACAAGCAAGGCAAAATTTTACATAATTATTACCTCTCGTAATAAGCATTTCCTTTTAAGATTGGATGGAGGTCTATAGTATGCGAAAACAAAAATAATATATAGCTTTAATTACATATTGTACCTCTTACAACTATCTGGAGTTTAGAATTCATTACAGAAATTTTCATTAGTTAAAGTCACATCATAAAACTATTTCCATAAAATTAGAGGTAATGCAATACTGAAGATAAGCAGTCTGACCAATATAATTGTTCAGGTCATCTTTTTTCCTAAGACCTGGTAGTGCTGGATAAAAAGTGATTGTTGCCTTAGATATTGTAAGCATAATGGTTCTAGTATGAAAATTTTATTGGGGTTTTTGGTAATGTTGCAGGGAGCATAGCAATGTGTATGTTTTCTGTAGTCTTCCATTGTCTTTACTCTGCTTAATAGTTAGTTGAGTTTTTCTCTTCAAGTTCTCTGGAGATACTTATAGTTCAGTAACTTTATGTAATTTCTACTTAATAGATGCCTGCTAGTGTTGTAGATAGCTATTTACTTTCTTTATGCCTTTTGCATACAGCAAAAAGGAACCAAATTAATTTTTCAGAAGCTACTGTAGAGTGAACTGGTGGTTCTTAGACAAAGTGAAAAGTCTTTCTTGGGATCAAGTATAAAAGATGGATGCAAGGCTGTAAATCCTTTGTAAGTGTATGTCCCTGTACATTAGTAAGTTCTGTAGGAGAAATAAGCATGTTGTGGATTAAATCTAGCCCCTTTAATGTTGTTAGGGGTTCTAACATTGATGACTTTAGGAACATCATACATAAGCGGGTTGAATTCTACCATTGCACGTCAAAGCCCGTATGACAACACAGAAATAAAGATGCTGTCAGTAGCAGTCTGTTTAGGAAACCTGCTATTGCAGGTCAAGTTTGCACATATTGTGCAGGTGCCAGTGGGACTGGGGAAGCGAAATGTTAAGGAAGCTTCTGCCCTTTTCTGCAGGCAGTGTGCTGGCCGATACAGGCACATGTTCATGGGAAGGGGTGCATGTACTGGCTGCAGGGAGCAGTCATCTTTTTGCCCACCTAGTCTGTGATGTGCTACTTGACAGAAAGAAGATTTTCCATGAAGACAGGGCCCTTCTCTGCAGAGCCTCTAGGGAAAAATAGATTCTTTCTGTATATAGAGGTCCTCCTCATGGAGCAGCTTGGAAGAGCAAAGCATGCATTCTGATTGCAGATCATTTTTCTCTTTAGTATACATAGTTGTTTTGTACAGTAGAAATAGGATATTATTTGTAAATATTTACATGCACATACAAATGACACCTTACAGTTTTTATATATTTCCCCTGTTTTTATACCAGAATTTTCACTGTAGATTCACTTGACATAAAACATCTGTTTCAGTTTATCACAAAGCTAATGGTAGGATACTTAAGCATAATTTCTGCTTGGTTCAGGGCACAGTTTTTTCCTCAGCAATTGAGCTTGCTGTTTTGACAAATTTGAACAGACTTGTTTTAAAAAGACAAGAATGCATCATTTTTAATCCTTCCACCTAACAGGACCCCTGTAATAGCACTGTTTTGTGTTGGCTTTGGAAAGGCACCTAACAGAAGCTTTCTTTGACTGTTTGATAACTTTCTGTATTCATAATTCAGAGAACCATGAATTCTCTCAATCAGAATTGGACATTGTTTTAACTCATGGTATTTTCTTGATGCAAGTTAAAACTAGATTACAGAAGACAAATCTTCATTTTAAGCATGGAAAATACTGACAGATCTGAACCAACGTTCCCAGCTAAGAATGGTGGCATTAAATGCATATGAGTTAACCACCTACACTTTATGCATTTCTGATTTGATGGCACAATGCCCGAGTGCTGCTGCAGTTTAATAGTTTTTATAACAGTGAAGTGCCAGTGAAATACATATCTTAACTGGGCAGCTTGTATAGCACAGGCATTGCCTTCCTTACAGGAAATTTCTCTCCCATATAGTACATATGTGCCATGTGTCTACAGATATGCATATTTAATTAATTTGTGCCAATTAAGACTATCTGAGCACCATAGGAATATGAGAATGCATGTGCAGATTCCTGTGTGCCAAAGATGGGGTAAAGTGAAATGAGTACCTAAGCATTCCCTTCAGACTGCACCATATGCCATCCTAGAGCAGATGCCTGGATAGAGTCACACTTTCTGAGCATTCCATGACAAAGTGTCACCACTGCATGCTTGTAAAGCATAGGAATATAAAGTAAGTGTTGCTGCCACTGTGTTTCTATGGCTTTCCCATATCAGAAATATCTAGCTGCAGAGGGATAAGACCTAAAAAATTCCACACTGCTACCTAACCTTGCTGTCTCTTATTTAGCACATTTGGTGCTGCTTTGTTTTTCCCTTAAACTGAAAAACTCATTAATGAAAGTCATAAGCAACATTTTGTTCAGCATAGCTGATTGCTGCATTTATCTAGTAACAAGCTGTAAGCTAGAATTTACAGACAAGGTCCTATAACACCTCAAACAATATGGAATTAGATGATTAATCAAGAAATGTATCTTCCGTCATGCATTACTACACTGCCGGTAGCTAAAGGCCTAGTCCTATAAACTTTTTTTTTTCCTTTTAAATACCAAATAAGATTACTACAATAACTTAAGTGACTCATCACTAAAGTAGGTACTGCTCACTTGAAACCTTCTGGGATTTGGGTCCGAGGAGTATGCAATGCTGTAAGTATATTGTGCATACTCAGCTAGCTTGCAGTTATTATGCAAAAAAAAATTATAAAAGTATTATTTTTACTGTACTAAAAAATGTTATACAAAACAAAGTGCCTGATTATTAATACAGAATACCTTTTCAGCCCATTATTTGCATTTGACAGGGTAATATTTGCTTCTGTATTTTATCTATGGTCTTAATGTTTTCAGCAAGAATATTTCATAAACATGCTGTATTGAGAAGCTTTCAGGAGAAAAAAAGCATAAAAAGAAATGTGTCGTTTTAGATAAATTAAACCCTATCTCAGTAGAAATTATATGAAAAAATACTTTTACATTGAAAATATTCCATTTTCTGCATAAGGGACGCTTGAATCTGGATCTTGGTCTGTTTTCTTCTATAGGTTCCAGCAATATGACTTGACTTTTCTGTTATTGAAAACAGTTCTAGTGGAGCTGCAGGAGAAAAGAGATTGATCCCATTCCATTTAGATAGAAGCTAGGCTCTTATTCTCTGCTGCAGACAAAGTAATGGTCCAGAGTTTCATCTCATCTCTCCCATGTATAACTGTTACACATGACCTTGGGAGAGACATAAACAGTTTTTCCTTTTCTGCTGCTTTCTAAAATAACAAAATAGGCCAGGGTTTAGTCCTTTAATTGAACCAATTACTGAGCTTTATTATTTGTGGGGGGTTTTTATGTTTTCACGTAACTGAAGACAAGAAGAGGCTTTCACACCCCAGGAAAAAACATTTTTGAGAGGAGTTGCAACAAAAGGAATAGCATCCAGCTCAGCCAGATACTGTGTCTGGTAGAAATACTAGAGAACAGATAGCTGTTCAAAGCCAATCCTAAATCTCAAACAGATTGAGCCGTGTGTATAGAGGGGCTACATAATATACTGGTCAGTTACATGCATTGATCAAATTTATTTTTATCCTGGAAGAGTGCCAAGGTGTTAAGACTTACATGCCTATCCAGGAGCTTAGTCCAGTTTCTTCACTTAATCTGGCAAGTTGAAGGCATCTCTTTACTTCCTACGAAAATGCATGTATCATGCAGCATATTCCACTCTCACTTTACTTCATGCTTTGTTATCTTATTATTTCTCTCAGTTAAAATGTCTAAGCAGGCACCTTCTGTCCTCTAATTCTAGGTCATTACACATCTTTTGCCCTTTCCCATACCCCACCCCATTTCGTACCCCACAAGTAAAAACATTGAGGAATTATAAAGGCAAAATCGCACATGAGGTGTCAGCTCACAGGTTTCATTCATCAGGCAGCTCTCACGGATTTCAGCAGAGTTCTCACAGTTCTGCATTTTGAATCCTGTATAGCCAGTTTGAACAAGGTCATACTTCCACAAGGGGTTGAGCTAAAGACACTTGTTTGAGTAAGGATTGCAGTCTGCCGGAGTGTGCTCCAGGATGAATTCCAAGACATGAGGGGATTGATTCACCCTAAAGGAAACGTGAAAAGCTTGCAACTGCACATTTACTGCTAATTTTGTGCCATAAGGATTGTCTGACCTTCAGACCTTAGCTGAAACATCCATTGTAGGAATGTCCTCCAACAGATGATCTTGTAATGTTAATATATTTTTCTTCAAAGGCCGACTTTCCTGTTGATTGTCTAACTACTGTCTACATTGTTTGTAGAGCAAATTAAAGCATTAGATTCCAGAATAGGAATTTGATTAATTAATGAATTCCTGACAGATTCTTCCATCCAAGGTATGTGCCATAAATCTTTTGAATTCAGGTAGCTTGCTACTGCAGTTGAACAAGGCCATGGTTTCATTCTCTAGTGAGTAATTTAGGTCTGTATGGTTCTGGAGTGTGGCAGTGAAATGGAGGAGCTCTGTAGATGGGTAGAAATGTCTAGGCCATCTTTTGCACTTGCAGGAGACCACGTTCTATAAACTCAGAATAGAGGAGAATTCTGGAATGAAAGATGTCTACAAGTGGAAGTTTTTGCCATTACATTAATTTTGACCAAAGAGAGGAATTGGTTTGACTTTGCTTGTTTTTCTGAACCATTATGCATACTTTTCTTTGAAGTTCATACTAGAACTTCTATGTGTATTTTTAGGAAATGCTTCTAACATGGTTGACAGTTGACAGGATGAGGTGAACAGAAGTAGCTACTGTGCATTTTCCTTTTTTCTTGTGATAGTGAGTGGAAAGCAATGTAAGATTTGAGGGAAGGTTGCTATACAATACACAAAATCACTGCAACAGTATAACATTTTACTGCTAGTTAACATACTGAGGTTTTTATTACAAGTGAAGTTGTAGTGAAGATATTTATTATCAAAGTGCAAGGCCCATATTTTATGATAGTATTCTACTCCTAAAATTCAGTTTTGTATTAATATTGAGTATGGTAGGTATTGCTCCTGTTGTCTCCTGAATATTGATGCAGTAAAATGAAACATGTTCCCTTTTTACTGAAAAATACCACATACTAATCAATTTAAAGTTAGTCTTTGTTGTCCGATATTTAGTTTGTTCAGAAAAAACAAGTTTTTTTTTTTAAATAAACTACTTTTATGAATAATCTGGTTGCCTAATAGTTTTAGGGGACCCATTTAATACCAAAGGTAAAGCCACTCAGAAACTGACTCGGAATATGGCATCAACACTTTCCTGGAGTGCAGTGGTCAAGAGGTACACCTGGAATCAGTCAAGCAGAACTGAAGCAGTGGTAGTTGTCTGTGTCACCAAGCTGAAGGGTTAGGCACACCTGGCAGTTTCCAGTGCAAAATAGAAAAAGAAAAACACAACAGGAATAGCATAAAGGTTAACAGACATAGAGTAGCTCTTTGAGTCCTAACTGATGTTCCCAGAGAAAAGCACAAAGGCTTGCATTACTGATGTGTCTGCTATACCTGGCCTGTGAACTAACAAAAACTTCAGTGTGCTGTCAATCCTGTAAACCTTCCAAAGCACAAAATAGTCACCAAGCTACTTTTGGGGTTTCTAGTTGTATTTCAGTGATATTTTGGAGGGTCGAAAGGACAGACTTGGAGGATAATGAGAAGATATTAAGTATGTTTTACAGATTTTTATAGCTATTTTTTTAGCAAATGGTATTGCTGTCCTTGATGTGAGACCATTGATTAGCAAGACGTGCTAATACTCGTGCAGTATAAAGCAGAAAGAATAAAGAAATCCAAATATCTTGATTTCCAGGATAGTGATTAGCTAAACTGGAAAGTAATCAGTCAATTTAATTGTTTAGCTGGCTGAAAGATTTCATTCTAAATACTTACTGATCGTAGTTTTTTTCTCAAATACAAGCTTCTTAGCATAAACATGAAGCAATGCATCATTTTTTCCCTTATTGCAGACTTAACTATTGAAAGAAAAATATTTTGCATTTTTTTAAATTAATGCAAAGCCTGAATTGTTGGATGTTCCAGGCTACTGAATAGATGATATAGAGTTATCCTCAATGGATTTTTTGGGGGTGGGGGCTTAAGTGTCCTTATATAAGCTGTGATCCAAGTTATGATAAGAAAGGAGCCTATGGTGAGCAGTAATAATGTTCTAATGCTTCCTTGCATTTGATCAGTAGTTACCAGTTTTTAATAAAGCAGCCCTCACAGTACTTAGGAGCTCATAGAACATATTGTGATCTTATGTTGCTAATTTGTTTTAAAATATAAAATGTTTTAAGCTTTTTGTCAAAAGTGATAACATCATATTACAAATAAACCTTTTTGTGGTTGTAAAATTTAGCTTATAAATCATTCAAATTGAAGTGAAAAAAAACACAGGTCATTGTTAATGACAGTCTATCCTACTATTAAGAATATATGTATTTTTGTAAAGGAAAAGCACTTGTAGATATTTAATCAGTCCAATATCTATCTATGTTAATGTTTTGAAAAAAAAAAAGAAAACAAAATGCTGCTTAGAGAATCACTTACATATTTTTATTTTTTGTGCTCAAATGCATTTTCTGTTGATTTATGGAATCTTGTTTATTCTGTGTGAAACTGTATAGTTAGTACAGCTGGGCTAAATGCATTTCTCACTTTAATCAACTGTATCTGACTATGATAATATATTTTGTGTCTGAGCAGAAAGCTAATTGCAAAACTTAGGCTGGTGGTGCTGTTTCTCATCTTCGATATTAGCTTCATCCTGCCTTATGACTTTTCTACTTCATAATAGGTATAAAAAATGCTACCCGTTTTTTGTGGTGTATATGTTTTAATGGACATTTCAGGGTATATTTGGTTATTTAGTTGAATCTTACTGTGCTTACGAACATTTTTATAAAAAGATGACAGAATTTTACTTACAGCATTTAAAAAACACTCTCCTGGATGAAAAAGAGTGCGAGATTAGTCAAGTTTAATACTTACTTTCCTACAGAGGAAACTACTGTTAGGTACATTCGTGAAACGTAATTGCATCACAAAAGTTTCTAAGAATTTTAACGTTTTTAAAATTTAGAATAATTAATTTCTTGTAATATTTTGCAGCTCTTTGAAACCTCACTTTTAACTATATTTTGATTCATCATAATACATTAACACAGCTTCAGGGGAAAAAAACAGTAAAGCAAAGAATTTTATTAAAGTACAGTAAGGAGTGGCAACCATATTTGTTTGTAGTTATTACTGTACAATCCAAAATCTATTTACTTATTTCAGTGGAATTCTACAGGGATATACTCTGTGGGCTAACGTGTTGCTCAGTTCAGCTTGACCTCAGTGGAGCGGTTTTCTTCAATTGTCCTTGTAGCTAAGACTTGAAATGACCCAGACTTCCCACTTTCTCACTTGTTTTCCTTACATGGGTGGCTAATATTGCTTAAATTTATTCTTATTATATTAACCACACAGGTAAAAAAGTTTTGCAACACTGAGTGTGTACACTAGCAGTAGAACTCATTGTTAGGAACTCAGCTGACTAAATACTTGTGTCCTTTTCAAACTGGGGGAGAAATTCACTGGGAGTATGAACATTTGAAATGGCATTCTCTTATTTGTATGCATGCTACACAAAGATGTGCAGTTGATCAGCATTTGATGTGTTTGTTTTATTATATGAACACTGTCTGTTTTTATAATTTTTGTTAAGAGCTAATTTCTGTATTAATTCATTAGGGTTGACATCTCAGGGTCCACAAAGTAGCAGTTGAAAAACTTAAATCCATTTGATCTGAGTGCAATAGCAATATTGCAGGCTTGTATCTTTTGAAGAACCAAATATGTTGTGCTTTGAAGTATTTTTAAAAGCACTGTAAATTTCACCCAGTTCTACCAAAGGAATGGGGGGGGGTGTTTAGTCTTAGAAGCTGAGTGTGGCCCTGGAAAAAATTGTAAGACACCTGTAATTGTCGGCACTAGTGAGCAGTTTTACAATTAGGTAAGGGAAGTGCTGGTACTTGGGGTTTTTTTGGCGAAACCTCGTGGTCATGCCTCTTGATGTAGAGCGATGTGTGCCTGTGCAAAGCTGCATCGACATTTGTAAGCAAGATTTATTTTCAAAAAACAGCTCATGCAAACCCTGTAAATGGGCCTTTAGAACTTTGTGTGTCAATTTATCTGGTATGTAACGATATTTCTAATAATGAACTACCTGTATGGCTCAGTACTGGTGATGTTGCATTGAGTGCTTCGTGCTAATGTCAAGAAGGTTTACAGCACCTTTATAATGGCTGATAACAAATGGCAATTTGGCCTGACCCGTATGCTGCAAGATGCCTCTAGCCCAGTTGGATTAATTTTGTGAAAAATCTAGATGAGCAAGAAGTATAACTAATCTGCTTACTAGCACTGAATTGCTCCTTTCTCAAAGCAATAAATATATTCATGTTGTAACATCTGTTGTGCAGCCTACAATACGAGTTGTTTTGTTGCATTGTTTCTATATAATTTATTTTGTGCAATAAAAAAATCTCTGGTTTTATCTGACTCGTCTCTAGTTTGTAGTAATATTTGAATTTAAACATTTATTAGCTTTGTATCTTAATCATGCAAGCATGCTATCAACTCAGAAATGCAGAGTATAAAGTAGATGGCAGTAATATTATGCATTATAGAAAAGTCAGAGGGGACTCATATGGCCTGATTTTGTTCTAGTTAATGTCATAGAGTGTTACCATTAATTTTCACAGGTGCAGAGACTGCCTCACACTAAAGCTAACTGGATTTTGCACCCCATTTGTAAAATATAACCAGGTGGGTTACAGAATGTGACTCTGTGTTTGAGGCTCTGTTTTAAAAAAAAATCCCGTAGAGTTTCTGCCACTTTTTTTAACCTAATTTCACTGCTTTTTATTTTTTTTCCTTTTTGTTCCCTGCCTTTTTGATGTTTTTCTGGGTTGATATGGTTTCAGTAGTGTTTATTGTTCTATGCATTTACCTTCTGATTACCCTTTATTATGTTGTTGGGCTGTTTTTAACTCTAAGGTAGTGTGAAATAAATGTGTGTGCAAACTGGAAGCTAGAGGATATCTTACAAATGAGCTTTTATTCAAGGGAACTTGTACCTTTTGTCTGAAATGCTACTGTGAAACCTGCAGTACCAACAGATGAGCTTGGAGATGTGATTCAGATTTAGAAATAATAGAAAGGACTGCTGATTAAACTAAAAGGCATCCTCTTGTAAAATCCTACGTGTTACCAGCAGAAGATAATTGCTTGTGAGCACAAAAGGTGAAGGTATATATAGTGTATGGCACTATGTACATATGATTAAATAAGAATTGTAGTTAAGTTGCAGTTATCTGTTAACAGGCAAAGAGCAGCTGTGGCACCACTGGCTGCTGTATAACCTGTGCAGATGAAGCAGTGCAGCCTCACTGTCTTTCTTTGAACCTTTTTCATGGGGGATATTTGACCTCAGATTTGTCAAAGGTTGTAGACTAATACTTTCCCATCTAAAAGTGTTCTTTAAACTTAAGGTCACTCGTGAAAAAAACCCAAACTTTACATAATGCTTCTACCTAATACTATTACATTCTTTATGAAACAGAAATTGAATCATATCTAAGTGCAAAATTCTGCTCCTAAGTAGGAAGCAATGTTTCCTCAAGCAAGGTTTCTTTTAAAAATGCTGGTGATTAAATTATTTTAAATAATTACTTTGTTTCAAGTAGCTAAAAAGAGAATCATTGTGGAGGGAAAAAAAATATGCATAAAAATAGTTACAAATACCTGATCAGTCATAAACCTGGATTATGTTTTTTTGAAGGAAGAAGGTAGGGGGTATACAAACAGCTATTTACATCGGGGCATAGCATATGAATTTCCCTGTTGGAACTGTGATTCAGATTGCTTTCTACCCTGATTATTTTTTTCTGTTTTATTCTAGAGGAGAATATGCTATGTCATTATAGGCAAGAGTAATGTTTTTCAGAAGAAAAGTGCTTTTGTAATTTAGGTTTCATTAAAGAAACAGAAATTTGCTGGCAGTATGTAATAGGAGCACCTCATTCCAGTGGCACACTTCCAACATCTTCATTTAGAAAGAAGACTGCTGCATTCATAATTCATAAAAGCGTTGGCGTCTATCCCATTAAACTCACACAGGAAAAGAAAACATTCTTATATGCAAAAACACTCTGTCTTTTCTAGGCTATTTATAGGTGAAGTTCTGTCCTTTCCTGCAGTACACAAATAACTACAGTAAGTGCATTTGTAGATATAGATATACCAAAATACACATACACAACATGTATGTGTCAGTGCCCCTGAAGACTTCCAGTCCTGCTGCCAGTAGCCTCTACACATTTTAATGTCCTAGTACATCTGTGAAACTGGCAGAACTTGTTACTAGCCAGTATTTCTCCTTCAATAATTCTGTCCATGTCTTTTTCAAAGTAGTAGGATTTTATCTTGACTAGTTTCTAAAATGTGTTTCATTCCCATGATCCTCCCTATAACCTGCTTAAAGTGATGCTGACGTAGAGTGCTCTGTGTGCTCATGATGTCCTTATGCTGCACCCAACATCCAGAGTTCTGAAGATTGTAAAAAGTGAGCTCAGGAAATTCGCTGCTGCTCCTGTGCTTTGCTAGTTTATTATGTTGAATTTGTAAAGCACCTTATTACTAATGAAGAATTCGTGGAGTGTATTTGAAGACATTAACAAGGAAAGAGAAAGAGATGTACTCCAAATGAGTATCCCCTTGGAAGCAAACAGCATCCAGAATAGCACCTCTACCTCTATATCTACTTTCTACAGTGTTGATTGCATTATAACGTTAAACAGCAATTCCACTGCCGACTTCTAGACCCTTTCCCTTTCTCCAAGTTTTCAACTCAGACTGTTATTCTCTGGTAATGAAAATTCCTGGAACAAGAGAAGAAAAAAGACAGGATACTGCTGAATGGTATACTGTAATTTGCAGCAGTCAGCCTACCCCTCTTTCCATGTTCTGCTGGTTGCAAAATCTTTCTTCTTAGAGTGAAGATGTGCTTCCAGAGTGCCTTATAAATAAGTAAAGAATATTACTACTCTGCTTGAGGTAAGCAATATGCAACTTGGTTTTCATCTTTGGAAAAATTGCTGTTGCAAAGCTCTCTGGCTAATACTTTGAGAGGATGAATGTGCATGTTCAGAGCATTGTCCATGTGATTTGACTTTTTTTAATTTATTCACAAACAAATAAATGTTTGCTAGTGAAAAATTTTGTTAATATATTAATAGATACGTAAATTATGCTATAGCTTATTTAGAGAAGTGATACTATGAAAGATAAAGTCTGTGTTTTCAACCAAGGACTGCTATAATTCAATTTTCTATACTTGCTATAAAATCCACAAGGTATTATGTCACAGTATAATAACAGCATGAAACCAAACACATGGTATGTAGATGCCTGATCAGATAAAGGCATGTGCTTAAAGAATACTCACATGTGTAACATGCAACATGTGTAGATAGGCTTTTAGTGCTCCTATTGTGGAAATATGAAATGGCCTACTGATAGCATGCTCTCCATTTGCTTTACAGATTGTATTTAAAACAAGAAAATCACTTGGAAAATAGATGCTTACCATGTCAAAGGAATCCAAAGTGCTTTGTATGTTATGCATTTAAAACATACACATGCAGGAGTGACTTTGCCATGGCAACATGGCCATAGGTGAAAGTAGAGTAAAGCAACTTAGCACAAGAAAATAATTCAACTGCAAGATAAGTTTTCAAGGTAACAGTAATGTGAAATCAGAATTCACAGCTAAATCTGTTCAGGTTTGCCCCCTGACTTTGGAGAAAAGTATCAGTAAAACGCTTTAAGTGATTGCACAGTGAGCTGCCTACCATCTGCATTCAGCCTCAAAACACTGATTTCTGCCTGCAGCTCCTGGCCAAGGCTGTTCTATGGCAAACAAATTCACAGGATTAAAAAATTTCAGAGTAAAATGTTTTATCCCCATGAGCCTTAATATAGTCTCATTTCCCGACATGGGGAAACTAAAGTAATCACTGCTTAAAAAAGCTGAAGAGAAGCTAAATTCTTCTAAGTTCCTTCTGATATCTTCTGGATTTTGAGAAGGAGGTGGATTGGGTAGGAGAGCCTTCTTGTCTTTCCAAGAGAGGGCTGTATACTAATTTTCTTTATTTTGATGTCATCTATTGCTACTCACAGGAGGAGACTGGCTAAAACCAAAGTTGAATAGCCCATAAGAAAGTCAGTCTTCACCTCTAGTCATTCTCATCTGTCTCAATTGCACAATAGCAGATGGGGACAAGAATTTCCAGAGATGCAGCATCACAGCACCATGTGGAGGAAATTGCTCAGCACACCAACACAAGGGAGTACCAGGCAGCACCCCACAGAGCAGTAATGAGCCAAGGTTCCATAGGTGCACTTCTCAAGCTATTCATAGCTCTGTGCTATGAATGTGGAAACTGGCAGCAGATAGGCAGTGGCTGGCTGTTTTGAACCCCTGTACAAGCTCAGGTCACTGTTAGCCAGACTACATGTACACCATACTTCATTGTATACAAGATGTTTGCCCATGGGATATATATAAAATACTAGATTTCAAAGTATGTTACCTTTCACCAATAAGCATTTTTAGTATCACCCATCTTAACTGCGGCCAAGCTGACTCCAGTTAAAGTAGGAAGCCAGCAGATACAACTGTATCTTCTAAATATCCTCGCATTTTGCTACTAGGAAACATAGACTTAGTTCCAGCTACTGTTTGCAGTCTAATGTTAAGAGTTACCAAAGAGCTTGACCTTGGAAAATGGTAAAAGAGGATCCTAGAGCGTTACCACAGAATTGCAGGCAGAAGCTCTGGCAGAAAACAGGAGACTTGGTGTGGCCATCAGCTTGAAACTCTGGCTATGAAACCCAGTGCAAGACTGAGCCTGTTGATCCATAAAGTTTCTTGTTGCTAAACTCCTTGGGAGCATAGGTCATGGGGAAGGAAAAACACCTGTTGTATAGCAGCTCTGTCATCTGCTCTGCTTTTATTTGTCCACAAGGAATAAGAATATTTGAGAGTTGGTAGAAAATACTGTGGTAAAGACTGCACAGTTGTGATTATAGATTAAAGATTTCTGTGAGAAAGTAAGCTCTAGACAGTGCTCCATAGTATTAATAGCTTCCAAGGAAAGATACCATGTCCCAAGACCAAAAGCATCATGAGTTGTGGCCTGCTGTTCAGAGAACTTATCCAAATGTGGTCCTCACAGAG